CCCCCCCCCCCCCCCCACCTGTCCCTTGAAAATTGCTCCAAAATACTAGGAAATGGCGAAATAGAGCAAAATTAACTCACAGGCATTATTAACTATTGAGTAAACTAGTTTTTAAAATGCTTAAGCAATGAAAACGATTGGCATACGACGGCCTGCAAATATCAGTAGATGAAGTGACTTTTCGCCGAATGCATACTGTATAAGTTTTGTTGAGTTCGTTAAACTTACGAGAGTAAAAGCCCCCTATCTATTAATACCCCAGCTCGTCGAACAACGTGGTTTAGTTTAGATGTCTACTGGTTCATTATTAACCTAGTTCCCAAGGCTCTTCCCTTAGAAATTGGCCCTCTCAAAATTTGTTAGGGAAAAAACTGGGAACGAAGTTCGTTGGTTCGTAGTGTTCGTAGCTCCCACGCCTGGCTGCTCTTGGATGTCGTATGCGGTCTGTTCGCCTTCAAAATTACCTTTACCATTGAAAGTGACACCTTGACGAATCAAGACCAGGTGTCTCGGGATTAAGGAGTTTAAACCAAGTCTATTCGCGGATAATTGGAGGATGTGTCTACAACTCTTAAAATACAGCATCTCACACTACACCGTCAGTTTTAAAGGTCATTCTCTATTCTTTGAAGACTCTCAAGTCCTGAGGTTGTTTTTTCTGGCGTTCTGTCCAATGATTTACTTTGTTGTTCCTCTATCAACCGAAGCAATCTCGCTTCTTCTTCCTCCAGTAACTGAAGCTGAATTTCGTAACTGCGTAACTTTTCCTTGACTTGCGAGCCGTAACTCCGTCCGCTCAGCTTTCGAACAAACCACTGTTCCCAACTCTGTAAATAAAATTTTAATAACAAGGGTAATTAAGCTATTTAAGATCCAAAAGCCGTTTACGTTAGCGCTGTTAAGAATCATATCAACCCGATTGCGGTTAAATCGCTTTCTTTTGCTCTTTGGTAAGGCAAAAAAAAAAAAAAAACGGTTTGCGTGATTAACAAACAGAAAACAAACAACAACAACAAACGAAAAATGTTCAACCACTCATTAATAAGGGCCTGTTTACATGGAGGTGGGGGACCCCAGGTAGGTAAGGCCACCCGCCTGTCCGTATAATCTCTCATTTTAATGTGATCACGTTTACATGTTAGGTGGGGTAACTAGCCACATGTTACCTCACCTACCTGGGGTCCCCCACCTTCATGTACACAGGCGCTAAGACACTTGAATTCGCGGGAATGTTTAAGATTGGGGAGGATTCAAAGGATTTCTTTGAAGTACAGAAATTCCACCCTTTCTTGAACTAAAATAACTGAGAAAAGAAGCTACCGCATTTGCCTCGCAAAACGGCCCGTCCTTCGCGTGGCTCCGACGACCATGTAAAACGCGGTCGTAAAAATAGTGTCTCAAATTAGTACCTTTGTGCCAAATACATCTACACTCAAATCAAGTTTTTTTTTTCTTAGAATGAAGTAAATTGAAAAAATCCTTTTAAGCAGAACCCAAAAGATTGTTCTGTTATACGATTACCTCCTCATTCCGCTTGGCATTTGCTACTAGCTCAGGATAATGATATTTGATAGTTTCTTCTAAAATCCATATATGGCACTTGTTAACCGTCCACTGGCCTAGAAAATGCGACAAAAAAGAATAATAATCATTAAGACTTGCACAGGGGGAGCTAATGTACTTTAAGCCGCTCAAGGAGTGTGAATAGGCCACTTCTGAGTTCAAAAACCCTCACTTTCAAAATGAGGCTAGGTGCACAACCCTTCTTGTGAAAATGAGTTTTATTTGCATGAGAATCAAAAATGATTTCCATATCAAAGGTTGAGCACTTACCCTCGTTTTGAAACAGAGGCCCAGGGGAACTCGGAAATGGCCTATTAAGCTTAGGTCTCGTTTATACAAATTCGGATATTTCGAAACCGCATATTTTTTACACGAAAAGGTGAGTAGATTCACTTGTTTTGTGCGGACAGAGAGCTGGTTGGTGTAAAAACCTATAAAAAAAAGGGGGTTTTAAAAATGGCTGGATTGGTGTGGACAGGGCCTTAGACTACGAGTAATACCTAATTTTCGACAGGGAAAATGGTAGAGCGAGCGAATTATGCTAAGCTTGTAAAAATCACTTTTCTTCCCTCAGTGCGTCACCTTCCTCGTGGGTGGCGACTTTCCTGAGCACTCGAGTAACTCTCTTGCTTTACTATCCCTGAGGAAAAATAGGGAGTAATTGTAGTCTGTGAGAAGCTTAATTTGGAGATAAAAAAGTCATCCCTTTCCTCTGCGGGTCACTTTCTTCGCGGGTAGCGATTTTCACGAGCGCTCACTCTCTCTTCTATCCTTGAGGAAAATGAGGAAGAAATAATTGTCATCTGTGACTCACTGAGAAGCTTGGGGCTATGCAATTGAGTGCAGAGTCAGGAGAAATGATATAATGACATACACTCCCTCCTTAATCAGACAAGAAGTGAATCTTAATGTAGTGGAAGTGGTATGATTCAATGCGTTCAAATGAGAAGAACTTGTTCACCTGCTGCTGCCATCAAAGCACCTTGCACAATGTTCAGAAACAGAACACCAAAACCTCTCCCTAATACAATGACAGATGGTCAAAACAAGGATCTACTGTGGATACTTTAACAACATCACATACATTGTAGCTTGCCTAAGAAGTGCTCTAATGGTGCTAAAAAGAAAGTGGGATCAGGGCTGTACTGTGTCTAACTTGTGCTCTTGCGCTACTAGAAAATCTTAAAATGTACTTTTTTCATACAAATCATACTCTGGGCACCCTGGATTTCACAAGTTCAGAGCACTTAGCTCCCTTCAATTTTTTTTGGAGCACAGCTGGGGATTACAAAACACATGATGAGCTCACAACCTTCTTTCTTCACATCCCTGTTACATTTCCTTTGCCAAAAATTCCTTTTCATTTTCCCTTCCATATGCTAACTAATAAAGTAGGATATGTACTGTGTATGTTGTAGGTAAAATCTCTTCTCCAGTTAGAAAAGAATTCCTTTTGCCTCCTGTGAATAATTAGGGTGAGGAAGCTAAGGAAATTCTGAACCAAAGTTGGTTGAATAATGATTTGAACTGAGAATGGATTTTACTTTTACCTGCCATATATATCTTACACGTCAAATTTGATTTCAGGTTAATTTTGATTTAACCCAGGTTTATTATCTATTTCCTTTGTCTCCTAGCCCTAATTCATGAATAATCAGGGCTAGGAGAAAAAAGAAATTGAGAATCAACCTAGGTTGAAAAAAATTAACCTGAAATCAGATTTGACCTGTAACATAGACACATTTGTACATATCAATGCAAAGTTGAAGAATATTGAAAAGAATAATAACATAATAAAATCAAAAAATAAATAAAAAGTAAAAGAATAAAAAAAACATGTACATTTGTAGAACCTTATCATAGGTATAAACCTCACAAAATTACCTTAATGTTCATTCATTCCATTCCATCTCTTAAATTCAAGTTTAGGTGAGGTAGCATGATTAACTTACAAATTGCACATGACAGCAACATTCCTACTGCTCCACCACTGAGGGAACTTGCTTGCATGCCAGTCATGGCTTCTCTTCTTGTGGTCAAAGTTGGGTTCCCTTGAAGTTGGTCAAGAGATCTTCTTAGGTCGTGAGCCTTGGACGACAGCAATAAATTGTCTCTGATCACTGATGACAAAAGCACACACACATACAAATTAACAACATTAAATGCAGAAAGTTTATTAGTTAAGGGAATTTTTAATTTTTAGGCTTGGTAAGTGAATGTGAAACATGTGCACATGTCACGAGCATTGAACAAAGTCCCTGCCAGGATTCATACCTATGATTTTCTGACCTTTGGGAAGGGATTGTATTCACTAGACTCACAAAGTGCAAGGCCATATACTAGGTTTTTATTTGACATGCATCCTGTATAATTAGTGTATTGGCCTCTCGCAGTAGCTAAGACTGTGACAGAGTGCCCACTTAGAGTTGGATAGGTCCTTCCTTTCCTACACTCATGACACGCTGATCATCACATTTTTCACAATCAAATGTAGAAATTTAAAGGATAGAAATACATGTATAAAGTAAATGTTCAAGTTGCCAACTCTAACACTGATATACATGTAACAATGTCATGTATGAGTAAACTTACCAAAAAACAAGCCAGAGATGGTGAAAAATGAAGCACCAGTCGAAAATGAGTAGGTCAATACACCTTGCTTCCTAAAGGCAGCATACGTACTGCCAATGCTTAAACCAGTCAAGCCTGACAGGAAAGCAAATATAAACATTTTATAATATATTATTGGCAGCTTTTTTTTCCCTATCAGCAGAATGTAAATAACTTGAGTTTGTAAAATTCTTATCTTCAAAAAAATGTTAACATTGCAAGCTTTCACTTCATTTTTTTTTACTGATGCATAAAATGGAGTTGTGAAACTTCGCTTATCACTTCACTCTCAATTTAATAAATATTTTTCAATTAGTTTACTAGGAATGACATCTACAGTATATTAATTCTCAACAGAAAACCAGATTTCTAGTGTAACATTGAAAAATTTATTCTATAAGAAGCAAACAACACTTAAAATGAACAGTGGTGCCCATTCCTTTGTCACCTTCTGACATCGTGATCCTTGTATCATGCGATGAAAAGGTTAGGTGTCAAACTGTGTTTCAAATGTTTACTTTGCCGATTAAGCTTACATGATAAAAGCAAAAGCTCACTATTGAACACAGACTCTTTCAGGCTTTTCCTTTAGGCAGACTATCAAAACTACACTTTTGGACAGACCACTAAAACTTTGATTTTCCTTCTACAGTACATAGTACATAGTGTATGTCCTTTACCCAACTTACATTGTATTTTAACATCACAGAACCTCTGCACATACAAAATTGTTTTGATATGAACTCAAGCAGTGAATCTGCACACCAGTTTCAGTCACTTCTAGGTAAAGTTTGTGCATGAACAAGAAAAACCCTTGGGGTGAGTAATATGCTTGTTCTTCAAACCATCAAAGTGGAAGAAACTTTTTACACATCTCTACTAAAAACAACTTCTTTCAAGTATCAAAACGATTTTGTATAAAAACAACTGGTAACCACCCCTATACATCTACATGTACCTGACACAGCAGTGTAGCAAAGTATTTTTTTGGCTCTCTCTCCATCACGTCGCACTGTGTTCACCAAAACACTTCCCCCAGCACCAATGCCAGCTAACAAAGATAGTAGTAGCTGTTTAGTTGCACTTTATTTGCAAAAGTTAAGTTGTTAGAAATGGTTGTAACAGTAAAGAAAAGGTCTAGAATGATCACGCCATGCCAATTTAAGGCAACCCATTGCAACATTTCAGGGTCATCCCAGGTATAATATAATTTATTCCTTTTCTTTGTTTTACGGACTATTGCCAGGGTTAAATTCATTGCTAAGGAAAGTATTTTTGTTTTGTTTTTTGTTTTTTTTTGTTTTTACATAAGCTGTGAGTAATACAGGTAAATTATATCACACCGGAGATGAGCCACATTTCACTCACCCTTCCATTTTCTCTCATGTTCATTCTCTGATCGATGTTGTGCATACATATATAATTCTATCAGGATTGTCACTAAGATTTCAAGTTGGCGGGTAATTACAACAAGTAGGCGAGGAATCAAACGGCTAGGGATTTCTTTTGGTTCTATTTCTCTTCTATTTTCCAATAAAAGTAGTCCGTTGCCCCTCTCTTATGTATCGGTCAAATCGAAGCTTCAACATGCCCCCCCGGGCATACCCCGGGCATTTGACACCTTTGCCGTCCCGCGGAGGAGGGAATTTGATGATCAGAGTCTTCCAGGGGGTGGGGAATTTTATCCCCATGCTTTAGGGGTGGGGAATTTGAACTGCACCCTCAATTTCATGTAAAATCTTTGGCGTGGTGAGCTATCATGGGGGACGCGGTGTTAGAGGATTTTCATGGAAAAGATTGTGCCTTTGTGGCCAATTGGTTACGAGGAAAGGGCTTAAGCAAGCTTTGTGCCGTATTTGAAGTATTTAAATTTTAAAATTTTTAATTGGATTCAGGCTTTGAATGTATGAATGTATTTTATTGTTGTGTTTACATTGAAATACAATACCTATACCGGCAATTCAATACAACAACATAAAATAAATTAAAAAGCTCAGGTCAACTACTTTGACCTACTGCAAGTATGTTAATTAATAAGGTGAGCGATGATGCATGTCAGTGAAATGGTCATGATGTAGTAAGCTCAATAGGTGGAATCTTTTTTATGTATGTTGCATGACGAAGAAAAGTTGAGCATTCAGTGACCTTGTAGCAGCGACTTCCGCCGCTTTGCACGAGACTTTTGTTCGTAGTGAATACGCTAACAGTGCTTCTCAGTTTTTGTTATATTTATAAAGATTTTGTTCGACAACTGAAGGCGTTTGCGCCGTTCTTCTGTCATTTTTGTGCCTGTGAAATGTCCCCTGGGTGGGGGCATTTGATCACCTGAATGGACCCTAGTGTGGGGCATTTGAACGGCATTTTGGCCCGGGTAGGGGGGAATTTGAACAATAATTTTCAAAAAAGTCAAATGCCCGAGGGGTTGCCCGGGGGGGGCATGTTGAAGCTTCGATTTGACCGATACATTAGTAGCCGGGGAAAATCCCCGGCCCCCGGCTCTTAATGACAACCCTGGATTCTATCCTGGTATATTTCTATAGCACCATGTGATGTGCAAATCAAGGTTGGAAAGGGGAAAAGAGTAACAATAATGCTAAATTGTGACTAATAACCTGCATTGAAACACTCAGGACTTTTTGAATATCACCACGGCAAAAAGTGGGAAAGCTTTCTTAACTTATGATTGAATTCCTATTCAGAAGAAAACACAACAGTGTTAGCGATTAATTAAGAACCCTAACCTGCGAAAATAACATGTCTCGCAAACTTCGTCAAAGGTTGACCATTAAGCGCCATGATACCTAAATATCTCGCTAAATATCGCAGGCCTACTAAATAAACTCCTGTTCCGTCCACTTTGCCGCCATCTTGACTGCGCCTTAAAATCACGTGCAGCGGTTGACATCATTCGATAAATAGGTGTTATGTATTTGGCAGAATGTATCTCCAAAAAATCAAAATATGGCGGCAGTTTCAGATGGAGGAGAGAAACCATTAGGAACTTCCGTGGATTGCGATTTGCAAAAACATCTGAAAGGACTAAACACGGCTACTCCTGACCTTTCTACGTTGGCGCAAAAGGGTGACGAAAGGGTAAGAAGGAAGAAACAAACTCGCAGCTACAATGAGTACATTTAAATAGATTTTGGGTTGTTGTAGCAGCTAACAGTACCAATTCAACCGTGATGTAAATGTGAGCTTAAGTCTGTGACGCAGACTACAGTTTTTTAACTTAATGCATTATGTAGATATAACTTAAGCTTGTATGAATTTGTACTCAAAGGCCGCTCCATTTGATTTTACGTCCTAATACTGTATACATAAGCTTACACTGTACATGTTGAGTCACAATGCGGATCTTTTTGCAGGTAGCGTCATCACGAAAGAAATGAAGGAACCAAACATAAGAGTTCTCCTGGGGGCTTTGTTGTTTGGTTGTATTGTTTCTTTTGTTGTATGTAATCTGTGCCTTGGTACCTATTTACAGAAGTTAAGTTATGCCGCTTACAGTGTAATTTACGTAAAATTTCATTTAGCTACAGGAGATCAGTATAGGATAAAAAACAACAAAAACAACAACAACGACAAACAAACAAACAAAGAAACAAGTAAAAAACAAACTCACTTTCATGTTCAAAGTTTGTATAATATTTTCTGCCTTTGATTTAGTCCATAACACTGTATACAATAATGACTCTGAAACAAATGAAAATACTGGAACTCTCAAACCAGGGATAAATTATTGAATCGCAATGTACACCGTTTGCACAGACAGTTACATGTATATCTCTGACGCTGCGACAATTCCACTTAAAGTGGTAAGTTAGGTCAGCAGCCTATAAAATGGAAAGCGCAAAATATCCATTAAAGAACAACATCAGTATTTTGAGCTTCAGTTATAAAAGTCTGACCATTTTTGTGCTTTTAAGAATTTATTAAAGACTCGGTCTTAACTTACCCCCAAATCCCTCTTTAAATTTCCCCACAAATATGAAAGAACATTAAATTAAGTCATTGACATTTCTGCCAAAAACACATACACATGTCAAGCAGACAAGGCTTTGCTCTAAGGAAAACTGAAAGGATCCAATGCTCTGAATCTAAGAATTCAGGGCCCTCAGCAGATAATGAAATTATTTTCTGGTCGCTCAGGAGCAAAAGTCAGGTTCCAGTGGCCAGCGTCGGGCGCTGCTAGAACACAGCCTTGACCTACTGTATGACATTTCAATGGCAAATAGGTGCTTTGTTGGTTCATGTAATTTAATTGGAGTTACAGTTTAATTAAGTTTTTGATTAGAATGGAATTTGTCAGATTGAATTGCTTGACTTTGCTTCATTTTTACTTTAATCAAACTCAGAGCATTTTTTATTTAAATAACTTTCAAGATTATTAAGGTGTTTTATTTCCCTTTCAAAAGCTTGTGGAACAGTTTATGACTGAAGATATTCAGATTGGTGGCACAGCAGATGAAAAGCTACAAAGTCAATTGTATATTGGTAAATAACAATGTACCGGGTATATAACTATTGTATTCAGGTTGATAGACCTTTATAATATGTAACTGGAGGCTTAATTATTATTGATTGTCGGACAATTTAAACCTTAGGATTTCATTGTAGAGGTAATAAAGGATAACCCAAGGAGGGATGTATGTCAGTTGAAATTTAATGCAACTTTAGGGAGAGTAGCTGTCCACTTCAATCATGACACTGTTATATTTATGGTGGATATACCCAGACGCAAAGGGGCAAGGTATATATCCAGCTCTGTTCACCAACCCTGAGGGGAATAGTCGTTTTAGTATTTACCAAATCAGTTGGATAGAAATGAAAAAAAGTAACTTTTGGTAAATTAAAAACGTCACTAAGTACGAACTTTATTTACAATTTACAAACATTTCGGGAATTTTGTCGTGTATTTTTACATTTTTGTTGAAAATTAGCATGACAATAATTTTCTACTAACCAGTAAACACTGGCAGCCAAAGTTTGTCCTTTCTTGGTATTTGTTTGTACGACTGCTTCACGTATCGCTCAAATTTCATCTTTTGAAAATGTCTCGAAGTTACAACACTCCATCTTGGCTCTGGTCGCAAAACAGTGAATAGCCAAGAATATTCTGAGTTACTGGAGCTAATCAAAACATGCAGAAATTGCTATTCGCTGATTTGGTAAATATTAAAAATCAATATGCATGTATATCCCTTCTGGGTTTATTAAATTCACTGGATCGCTAACGTTGGTGGATTATCATACAGTGTACATGGAATATTAAATCAATTATGTCACTTAGATGAATATTTCATTCTTTCAGCTTGTTTCTGGGGCTTTTATGATGTTGTTAAGACTCTTCTAGACAAAGGAGCAGGTATATAATATTATCACTTAACGGTAGTCAACATAATTATTTTTTTGTCCCGTAGTTAGTTGATATTCCTTAATGCAAAATTTCCTTGAGGGAAATTGCAAAACTTGTCACTTATCTGAATATAAAGTGCAGAATTTTTTGTGTTTGATTTCACTTCCAGAATATTGAGCTTAATTTTCATATATTTCAGAAGGCCTGCTAGTGAGATCAACCAATCACCAGTACCCTAATTCTCTTCTTTTTCTTATAATTTTATTTCGTGATTTTCAGACGTTAATGCACAGAATAAAGAAACTCTCTGGACTCCCCTTCATGCTGCCACATTTCAGGAACATGGAAAGGTATTTGAAATATTTGTTTGGCTTTTGTTCCAACTGTTTCATTCACCATAATAATGGGGAAGTTAAACAGAGAACCCTAGCAGCTGACAGCAGCAGTTGGAGAAACACCCCACACAAACAACTAAAGCTGGGCGAAGAAAAGCGGATCGTGATGACAGACGGGCAGCGAGCTTGCAGAAAGGATTCCTCCATCAGACTTGAAACCACACACAAATGCGACCTCTGCGACAGAAACTGTCACTCTCAGATTGGCTAGCCTGCGGTGCAGGCGTATTTTGGGTGGGCGAAACCTTGTTCGTGTTCGTAATATTGTTGTAGCCGCCATCTTTGATTTTATGACAGTGGAAGATTGGGGAGAGTAGAAATAGTAACCCTTACGGTAGGTGTGAGGGCGCAAGAAGGAAAGGGGGGAGGGGGAGGGGAGAAAAAACATACGCCTGCCTGATATCATTGTTCTTTTGGGAAACTCCGTACGCTGGCAAACGGAGCTCCTGATTGGTGCGGCATAGGGAAGTAGATTGATGCCTGTCAATTAACTGTAAGTCTATATTGTTTACTCCGTTTCTGTCAGTCTTTTAGAATTGGAGCGGCTGGGAATGTCGCGTGTATTATGCAATGAGAAAGTCAAAGCCATTTCTACACTGGTCATCAGGACAAGATTTGCTCGCAGTACTAAAACCTTCCAATACGTTCTTTTTTCTGGCGAGTAGATTATGCTCTAGAGGGTTCTATGTTTTGACTGAGCAAATGTGATTTTAGCCCCTTGTTTCACACTGAGAGGTCATGACACGCTTATTGATTTTCTGTGGTTTTTGAATTTCTGGTCTTCATGATTTGCGTTTTCTTTGACCTCTTTTGAAGCGTAAAGCTCTTTTTGCCGCTAAATAAGGCTGTTAGGTTCTTAATTTTCTTTCTAGTCCGAGAATGTGATGTTTTCCTGCAATGTTGTATCACGCTGGGCCCAGCTCGTTAATTTTTTAAAAAAAATTGTTTGCAGGATGTTAAACTCTCATGGATAGAGATTTACAGAGATGAATTTAGAACAATGAATTGCAGCTTAAACTGAAGCTTCATCAGCTGTGGAGAGTTGCATTGTGACTCAGTCAAGATAAAAACAATGATAAACTGCAGCTTGTTTTTCTTAAGATAATGCGAGTCTTGTGGACAGTCTTTGGACTGGTTTGGTTGTTTTGTTATTGTCGGCTACTCATTTCCGGAAGAGCGGTCACGCGCGTCTAATTAGGGGGTGTTTCTCATTTTCACAGTGTTTTCGGGCAGGCGTTTTCTCTTCTCTCTCCCCGCTCCCTCCCCGCTCCCTTTGACTCGCCCCATCTCTTCCTCTCTTCGGGAAGTTTCAACATGGCACTTTCGCGAGCAAATTGCGCGCTCAAAGAAAACGCCTGCACTGCAGGCTACAGATTGGCCTGTTTAGTGACAGGCGACGCTGCTCAAACTAAGCTGACAGCCTGGAGGTATCTACCCATGGTCGACCCTGACCGACAGGGGCCTCACAGGGAAGAGACTGCAAGACTCCCCTCACCTCCCTTCCTCAATGCCACTTTTTTTATTCCTTTCCTTACTGTAAAATTAGTGTAATTTAATAGCTGTTTGACTGTTTACCTACAGATTGTGATGCTTCTTTTGGAGAGAAATGCACAGCCTGAGCTTCCTGATTGTGAAGGAAGGTATACTCCATTTCTATGCATTATTTTATCAAAGCAACTGTATACAGCAGTTGTGATACAGTGTGAGTGCCATATAATTAAACACCACTATGCCTGACATGATGTTGCAAGGCCATGCTCTAAGATTTAAAAGCTTGGAATCCGGGGTGCCCAACATTACGACTTTCGTGTGCAAGATTTCCTTGTCCCCACAGGGCCACCAGGCTCTGCATAGGCATAAACCTTTCATTGTTACTAATGTAGTTTTTGTTTTGTTTTCTTTCATTTTATAATGGAGAACTGCAAAGGACTTTGCCTCAGCATCTGACAAAGTTTGGCCACATTTTGCCGGTAAAAATAAATGTGTACAGTGCAAAAAATCATTTTTCCTTATACCGTGCCAGAGAGTTGTTCTGTAAACTGAAAAGATCAAAGTTGTAAGTGACTCTGCCAGCAGGGTAGTGTACATGGAGAATAACCAAACGACTTGAATTGTACTAATTAAAATCAGTTCATTTTTGTCCTTTACACACTGACTATCAAGTACATGTAAATGACAGTAACCGCGTGTTAAGTACGTATTATTACTCAACAGTAATAACAACTGTTAATTTTGTCCACAGTAATACTTGATTGAATTGTTCTTTTGATACTTGTACACAATAGACAAGTCTGTTCATATGTACCTTGCTAAAGATCGGCAGCTGCAGTGTAAACGTAACTCATCTGAAACAATCTGAAGGAAAAAAAATCAATCAGGCATCTTGGTACTTCTAACCTAAGTCAGCTTTGGAGTTGAATTAAAAAGGAAGTGTAACTGAGATTAAGCGCTACAGACTTGAAAATCCAGCAGAAGTATTTTCATTCTTGGTGGAAATCTTTTCAGTAAGGTGGGCCGACTCTTGGGTGGAAGTTAATAAATCCCAGCACGCTGCCAAGTAGTGTATGCGAAATTTGTTAAATAATGTCTTCGGTTATAAAGATAGATACTAGAAAAAAAACGGACTAATACTAGAAAAAGTGTGTCAGTTGTTTTGCTTGAAAAAGGTGTTCCAAATACAGAACTCAGGGGTTCAAATGATACAAATTAATAAATTTTTGGATCAGTAATCTTATTTTCCTGCCACTTACGAAAAGCTTTTTTTCATATTGTCGAATTTTTAGCTTTAAACTGCCCAAGAACATCAAAGCAAGAGCTTATAGAAAAAGGAATAATAAAAAAGGTAATATTGTTTTTTGTAATTTAATTGTTTACCCGCGGAGCACTTCTAAGGAGTTATTTTAAGAAAAAGAACTCGTTGGAACGTGTCCGTGCGTCCCAGATCGAATTGGAATTTGGAAGTGTTGGTTTTAAAGGAGATGGGAAAACCGGATTACCCGGAGAACCCCCAACCGCCAACCGAGCACTTACCCTCGTTTTGAAACAGAGGCCCGGGGAACTCGGAAATGGCCTAATCACTGCAGCAGTGGATTTTGGCGAAAAAATGCGATACTTTCTCCTTAGACATACCTTCAGCGAAATAACGACGCAATTGGTAGCTATAGTGGCCGTAAAAATCTGCGACTTCAACGAATAATCAAAACGAAGAACAACTTTCCGAAGAAAAATGGATGAAACCACAATCCTGAAAACCCGATACCCTTAGTATTAATTTGATGCGTGTCTTAAAGAAGTTTATTTTGCAATTAATTATAGCTGGAGGAGCCTTCTAGGGCTGGCTCAGCCGGTAGGCCAGGATCAGGTCCCAAAGGTAGACTGGTAAGTAACTTGTCTTAGTATGTGTAATCAAATGGTGACGTTGGACAAAACGCAAGTGAAATGATTCCCTAATTTCACGAGTATACCATTTGATTACCTATTAATATCATGGGTGACGAATTACGTTAGCAATCTTGGATTTTTGACATGTTTATCCTGGATCGTATCGATCGAGAACTCCACTCTCTCAAATGTTTAGACCTTAAATTTGGCTTATAAAGTTCAGAATTTTACGGACTTTTTCGGCAAAATACCTGTTAGAATCCTTCTTGATGTTCTCTTGTGTGTTCAGGTTTTCTAAAGCGTCTTTTTGTGCCTTGACATCTTCATTCACGGCATTTTAAAACTTCGTCGCCATCTTGACACTGAGACGTACGGAAGGGTTGCCAGGGCAATTTCGTAATTTCACATGTCAAATTACAAATTAACGGTGAAATTTCGCGCCAAAATTAAGGAGTAATTCGTCACCTATGATATTATGATTAATAATTTCCTCGGTTCATGCAAATCAACTCCAATAGATCTAGAAGCCGGATGACCTCAATTTAGACCAGCTTTCAAATGTATGTTTTTAACACAGGTCAAATCAGGGTTTTGTTTTGTTCTTCTTTGCTTCAGTGTAAAACCTTATAATAAAGTTTCGAACAGTTTTTTTTTCGTCTGCTGATAGCCAAAACCCAGCTCGTGATTATTTTAATGAATGCCAACTGAGCTAAACTTTCTGTGGTATTAACTCCTATAATTTTAGTTGTCTGGGAATCTGTGGATAAAATTGTATAAGGTGAACATTCTAATAAGAGCTACTTGGGGGAATGATTTCCTGTGGTGCACGGTGGACCCTCGTTATAACGAAGGGTCAAGGAGCTGAGAAGATGAAATATGTACACACTTACATTACATGTATATCGAAAAAAAAAACGAGTCAACCCAAACAAAACGGAATTTTAAATTTTTAAACAGAGTTAACTCAATTTGTAACTAGAGTAAATAATGTGGCTTTGGGACTAAAGAGCTGCACAGCTCTGACATAACGTGTCTCGTTTGTTATTATTCATCCAGGCAGCTTTTTCCAGACCGGGATCAGCATATGTTCTTCAGACCGATCCCTTTGCCAAGAAACGCAGCAATCAAGAGAGCATAGACTTCCCCCTTGGTAAGATTATCCTTTAGGCGTTTGTCGGGGAGAGTGGGGGCGGGGTGGAAGCATCCCTGTAAAAACAAAAGCGGATTACCCAGAGAAAAACCTCTAGGAACAGTTCTTAAAAAGAAGAAAAAAGGACACGGACGCTTGTCGAAATTTTTGAAACGTATCTCCGTAAGGTACTGCATGAAGTGAAGGAAAACGCAGTCTGTTTTCAAAATTTTTACACAGGAATCCAAGGAAATGAGCTTTTCTCTCATCGCATACTTGCAAAGGTCTTCACGTCACGGTCTGATGTAGAGTCAGCTCTCCACACATCACCTGAGTACATCAGAACACATTTTCCTTTTCCTTTATTATAATTTTTTTTTTCAGTACTATTTTAGAGAAAGTCGAATTCAGAATTCAATTTAGACCATGTGGGCCTAACCATTTAACTTTCTATCTGGCTGTCTACGTCTGTCTCTGTCCATGTAGCTTTCTGTCCATACCATAACATCTCGATCCGGCCATAGATACTTCCACTGTGTTCAAGCCGCGCTTCGAACGGACACACACACTGCTACCCTTCTTTTTAAACTGCACATCACTTAACGACATTTCAAATATAATGGGAAAAAAAAAGTAGCCAAATGATCTTAAAATTTGGCGAAACCGCTCTCAGACAAAAAGACAAACTTGATTGGGTTAAAATTGACAGGTTAGTCTCTCCTTTTTTTTTTTTTTCAGGGTCACCTGCCGGCGGTGATGTTTTGGCAGATACAAGAACGCAAGGGCGGGGCGATCATGCCGACAAGCCGGCGTTCTCCTTATGGCGTTCATGAAAATGACCCCTTTTTGTTCTTTAATGAGTGGTACGGAAAAGCGACCTATTGTATAGCTTTGTTTCAGTTGAGAAATGATAAGTTACGAAGTCAGAGTGTAAATTAGTGATGTACTTTTTGAACAGATATTATTGGTGTCAAGGTATTTGCTTTATATGAAAGGGTTTTACTTTGAAAATTGGAAAATTAGCACCAGTGACGATTTTTTTTTGCTGTTTGTACATATTTCACTTCACCTTTATTATCAATTGCTGCAATATATTAAAAATATTTTCTTCTTTTTTTAAAGTATCAGTCATCAGTGGTTTGCAGTTTCACAGGGGCACCCAACTAGAATATAGTTCAAAACCACTTAAACATATATAGCATTGTTAAACGTATTTTAGTATTTAAACGGTAGATATTGGCATATTTTTATCCCCTAAAAATTTTTCATCTGTTCAGATTTCCTAGCTGAAAGTCTAGTGATCCGAAAATTATAGGGATCAAAACTTGCCTTTTCGAAAATTTCGCCACAAAAAGGCTTCCGAAAATTGTAGGTGACCTTTTTAGGGTAAAAATCCGTTAAAATAGGCAAATATACCAGTTTTTGGATGTTCGAAAATCCTAGGAGAGGCAGGCAAGCAAGAAATTTTACAACAAATGTTTCGAAAATTCTAGATCTCAAATCGTCTTCCGAACAGATATTCTTCCGAAAATTGTCGTTGGGTGCCCCTGGTTTCAGCTTTGCGGAGACTTAGCCTTCTCGGTCTTCTTTGTTAGAAGGGACAATAGACTTGACGACTGAATACTTGTTTGCAGTTTACACATTCAAGAAAGTAGGCTTTTCAGTGTTCAAAGGCATCTCTGAAGCTTTAACCGGCTTCCGAGCCTGGCGAATCTGAAGACTATGGCCGTGTGCACACTTATATTACAAAAGTAAACAGAACGTTCAACCTTCTTTTTTTCTGCCAAAGTGAACGATCGAGTCTCTTATGGAGGTTCTAACTTTTGAATCAGTGGACGAAATCCAATAGTATGACCATTCAAATGAAACCTCTCCAGCAGTACTTTCACTTAGTACTATTTATTTAGTTTGTAGTTCCAACTTTTGAGTCTGTGGATGAAATCCTATGGTGTTACCATTCAAATCAAACCTCTTCAGCAATACCTCCACATGGTACTTTTTATTTAGTATGTAGCTCTAACTTTTGAGTCTGTTGATGAAATCCTATGGTGTTACCATTCAAATGAATCCTTTTTGGCAGTACTTTCACATAGTATTATTTCTTTTCAGAATCAAACTTAGAAATTTTGTTCAATTTTAACTTGGGTCAACTTTGACAGTGAAAGGGGTAACCACAACTAGAACTACCGTATTCTCCTGATGGTGCCTTTTTGTTAACGTTTCGATAGTTTAACTTGTCCTTGAAGCACTTAGGTTACGAGTAACTGGTACAGACTTAAGAATAAAAATTTAATCCGTATTGTAATGATCATGGCAATAATCATCATTTCATTTTTCAAATGAGTCAAGTAGAGGAAAGGAAGACTGAGGGATCACGAATTCCTAGATCTGGATAAAATGAACTGCACACACAAGTTAATAAACCTCACCTTTATTGACAATCTTCTCAGTTTTAAAAGCAAACTACAGTAACAAACAAAATACAGTGAGCAGGTTCAAAAATTGATGGCTTACAGATTTCAGCATCCAAGCGGTAAAAAGTAATTGACAAATAGTAAAAGACTCTTGCATCGATATCCCTAATAAGCGCCGCTCCTTGCCTTCCCCCTCGATCTATTCCTCTCCTTTTTCTCTGCTAGTGTGATTGACGGGCAATTCAGACTGGCCAAAACTCCTAAAAGCCAGGTTTTAGCAAATTCATTTCGGTCTTTGCGACAGATTATGGGAATGAAGCGGAATTGGCTGTTTAATGAACTCAAACACGGCATTTGGGGCCTCATTGGCCTGTTATGAAATTTATATGTCGCTAGAATTCCAACCGGCTGTTATAAAAATACAAAAACAACTATTTCAGCGCTGCCATAATTCTAATAAGAGCTACTTGGGGGAATGATTTCCTGTGGTGCACGGTGGACCCTCGTTATAACGAAGGGTCAAGGAGCTGAGAAGATGAAATATGTACACACTTACATTACATGTATATCGAAAAAAAAAACGAGTCAACCCAAACAAAACGGAATTTTAAATTTTTAAACAGAGTTAACTCAATTTGTAACTAGAGTAAATAATGTGGCTTTGGGACTAAAGAGCTGCACAGCTCTGACATAACGTGTCTCGTTTGTTATTATTCATCCAGGCAGCTTTTTCCAGACCGGGATCAGCATATGTTCTTCAGACCGATCCCTTTGCCAAGAAACGCAGCAATCAAGAGAGCATAGACTTCCCCCTTGGTAAGATTATCCTTTAGGCGTTTGTCGGGGAGAGTGGGGGCGGGGTGGAAGCATCCCTGTAAAAACAAAAGCGGATTACCCAGAGAAAAACCTCTAGGAACAGTTCTTAAAAAGAAGAAAAAAGGACACGGACGCTTGTCGAAATTTTTGAAACGTATCTCCGTAAGGTACTGCATGAAGTGAAGGAAAACGCAGTCTGTTTTCAAAATTTTTACACAGGAATCCAAGGAAATGAGCTTTTCTCTCATCGCATACTTGCAAAGGTCTTCACGTCACGGTCTGATGTAGAGTCAGCTCTCCACACATCACCTGAGTACATCAGAACACATTTTCCTTTTCCTTTATTATAATTTTTTTTTTCAGTACTATTTTAGAGAAAGTCGAATTCAGAATTCAATTTAGACCATGTGGGCCTAACCATTTAACTTTCTATCTGGCTGTCTACGTCTGTCTCTGTCCATGTAGCTTTCTGTCCATACCATAACATCTCGATCCGGCCATAGATACTTCCACTGTGTTCAAGCCGCGCTTCGAACGGACACACACACTGCTACCCTTCTTTTTAAACTGCACATCACTTTACGACATTTCAAATATAATGGGAAAAAAAAAGTAGCCAAATGATCTTAAAATTTGGCGAAACCGCTCTCAGACAAAAAGACAAACTTGATTGGGTTAAAATTGACAGGTTAGTCTCTCCTTTTTTTTTTTTTTCAGGGTCACCTGCCGGCGGTGATGTTTTGGCAGATACAAGAACGCAAGGGCGGGGCGATCATGCCGACAAGCCGGCGTTCTCCTTATGGCGTTCATGAAAATGACCCCTTTTTGTTCTTTAATGAGTGGTAGGAAAAGCGACCTATTGTATAGCTTTGTTTCAGTTGAGAAATGATAAGTTACGAAGTCAGAGTGTAAATTAGTGATGTACTTTTTGAACAGATATTATTGGTGTCAAGGTATTTGCTTTATATGAAAGGGTTTTACTTTGAAAATTGGAAAATTAGCACCAGTGACGATTTTTTTTTTGCTGTTTGTACATATTTCACTTCACCTTTATTATCAATTGCTGCAATATATTAAAAATATTTTCTTCTTTTTTTAAAGTATCAGTCATCAGTGGTTTGCAGTTTCACAGGGGCACCCAACTAGAATATAGTTCAAAACCACTTAAACATATATAGCATTGTTAAACGTATTTTAGTATTTAAACGGTAGATATTGGCATATTTTTATCCCCTAAAAATTTTTCATCTGTTCAGATTTCCTAGCTGAAAGTCTAGTGATCCGAAAATTATAGGGATCAAAACTTGCCTTTTCGAAAATTTCGCCACAAAAAGGCTTCCGAAAATTGTAGGTGACCTTTTTAGGGTAAAAATCCGTTAAAATAGGCAAATATACCAGTTTTTGGATGTTCGAAAATCCTAGGAGAGGCAGGCAAGCAAGAAATTTTACAACAAATGTTTCGAAAATTCTAGATCTCAAATCGTCTTCCGAACAGATATTCTTCCGAAAATTGTCGTTGGGTGCCCCTGGTTTCAGCTTTGCGGAGACTTAGCCCTTTCTCGGTCTTCTTTGTTAGAAGGGACAATAGACTTGACGAGTGAATACTTGTTTGCAGTTTACACATTCAAGAAAGTAGGCTTTTCAGTGTTCAAAGGCATCTCTGAAGCTTTAACCGGCTTCCGAGCCTGGCGAAACTGAAGACTATGGCCGTGTGCACACTTATATTACAAAAGTAAACAGAACGTTCAACCTTCTTTTTTTCTGCCAGAGTGAACGATCGAGTCTCTTATGGAGGTTCTAACTTTTAAATCAGTGGACGAAATCCAATAGTATGACCATTCAAATGAAACCTCTCCAGCAGTACTTTCACTTAGTACTATTTATTTAGTATGTAGTTCCAACTTTTGAGTCTGTGGATGAAATCCTATGGTGTGACCATTCAAATGAAACCTCTTCAGCAATACCTCCACATGGTACTTTTTATTTAGTATGTAGTTCTAACTTTTGAGTCTGTGGATGAAATCCTATGATGTTACCATTCAAATGAAACCTCTTCAGCAATACTTTCACATGGTACTATTTATTTAGTATGTAGTTC